GTGGCATCGAGGTAAGTGTTTGGTCTAACCTTAGCTTGAGGGAATAGGAGTTTGATCTTGTATGCTACATGTTATGTGTTGAGTACGACGTATAGGTGTGGTGACGAGTATCTATACGTCGGTGTCGAGCATGACCGTGAGTCTTAAATTGAAATTTATTGTGTTATTGAGAACTACTACGAATGCCTAAGTTGTTGAATCTCTGTGTTGAGCAAGGTTTATAATTATTCTCGTAGAGATTATTCATGGTTGAGCATTTGTGTTAGTTGAGGTAGTAGATGTTGGAACAAGTTTGGTTATAGCTGGTTTTCCTTTGTCGGGATAGTGTAGTTCTTATTGATCCCTAGTCGGGACTCTTGTTATGGTTGATGTTGATTGTATATTTGGATCGGGATGCACGCTGCAATAATGATATATTTGGGTCGGGTTGCACGCCGCAACAATGAGATATTTGGATCGGGTTGCACGCCGCAACAATGATATGATCGGGTCGGGTTGCACGCCGCAACAGTGATAAATGATATGGATCGGGTTGCACGCCGCAACAGTGTTGTTATATGTTGGGATCGGGTTGCGCACCGCAACAATTGTTGATACAAAGTGTTTATGGATGGAATATAAGTTCCTTGTTGTTTCGTTGTAAATTCTAAGTTGTCCTTGTGCCTTGTTCTTGATTTACTGTTGAAACTGACATACCCCACAGCATGTACCCCCTCCCATCTTTACTTGTTTATTGCTGTTTATATTCCGCTGTATATTATATAACTGCACAGATTTATTTGGTAGTCTGGTCCTAGCCTCGTCACTACTTCGCTGAGGTTAGGCTAGGCACTTACCAGCACATGGGGTCGGTTGTGCTGATACTACACTCTGCACTATTTTGTGCAGATCCCAGTGCTGCAGATTTCGGACCGCAGTGAGGTTTCAGCTTCCTACTTACCAGGCGACCCGAGATAGTCCTGCAGGCGTCCGCAGGCCTTGGCCTCCCTCCATCTATTTTCCTGCTTCTCTTATGTAGTTTTAGAGACAGTATTTTGTTATTTCTTTCAGACCCTTATTTGTAATACTCTTAGACAGTCTGTGAAGTTGTGATACCAAATCTTGGGTGGTTTCGTTATGGGATGGTATTAGTAGTACTATTAAACTTGAAATTTATTTCTTCCGCATGTTAAATTATGTTGCTATAAATTGTTGGTGCTAGTTCATTAAATAAAATGAAAATGGAAAACAGGTTAAATAGTTCAGTTAGTTGGCTTGCCTAGCTTTCACTAGTAGGAGCCATCACGACTCCCGAGGGTGGGAAATCCGGGTCGTGACACAGTTATACAACATAAAAATAAAAAACTGACAAGCTGGCTTGTCAGAGCAATAAAAACCTGTTTTAATAATTTTGAGTGATAATATGTTGTAATAACATGGATATTACAAATTATTCATATACAACGTTTTGTTCATACGATAATTTGAAAAAATACAATATATTTTTTTGTTTCATTTTATATTACACCCTTTCTTATTAATCTATTTCAAAAGGGATGATATTTATCATATTTAAAAATAATTTAACTTTAAATATTTTATTTTTCACATACTTTTATAATCACCATATTAGTTTAAGACTTAAAGTATTATTCCTTTATTTTTTTTAAGTTCTTTACTCAATCTAATACTACCATATAAATTGAAACCGTAGAATATTATAATTAAAGAAAAGAATTAAAGAGTTAACACAAGTGAGGATTTTTCTTTGCATCATTATTACATGAAATGAACCCGACAAAAGTACAAATCTACATACAAATTGGGAAAATAATCCTGCTATCTGATATAAAGTGAATAAATGGAAGGAAAAAGTAACAAAGTACATAACTAGATTATTAGTTACTAAGGTTAGCTCTAACAATCAATTTCTTATAATCAAAGCACAGAATGAGAATGTAATGATATATTTCAAATCCAAAATTTTGCCCATATCAAATCTCAAATCCCAAAATCAGCTATTGAGCTGATTTTGGGCCAAAATCTCAAAACTTGGGAATTATATACATGCTTTTCCAAAATAAAGTTAGAAAATATGTTTTGAAAATGTATGTCCAAACACATTTTCATCTTCAAACCAAACTTCACCCAAATCAAATTTTTCAAAATAAATTTAGAATCTATGGCCAAACGCTAGCTTAATTGATTCGTATCGGAAAATCTGACATTAGGGATAAAGTGCTTACGACTTCCTACCTAGGGCTCGAATCCAGAACCCCTATTTATAAAGACAAAAGAGATTTATCACACCCCATTACCCTTGTTACTACATTACAATCTTAAGATAGAGGGGCGTTATATTATATATACATCTAAATAGTCCTCTGTCAAACTAGTATCTTGTAACTTTCAGGGCATGTTCCAAATAGCTATCAAAAATATGCAGCTTCTCCTTAAATGTTGCGATTTTTTTTTTTTTATTTATACATCTGGTTGATATTGATATCTTTAGCATCTCACATCAAATTAGTTTCCCTCTTTTTTACTTAAGAGATTACTAAGACAAACAACTGAATCTTACCTGCACGAAATTGATACTTACACTTTCTACCAAAAGAAAGGTCAGAGAATTAAAAAAAAAATATATCAGATAATTAACATGGGAAAAAGAAACGCAACAAGCTGAGAAATCTAAGAAAAATTATCAGTACAACTCCCATTTGAAAAAAAAAAACTAAATATAAAATAGACGTAACATAAACTTGAGTCCATACAATAATTAATTGATTCATATCAATGTTTTTTACATATATTATTCTACAAGTGTTCCAAAATCCATCTCCCTAAGAATAAGGATTATTAGGTAAAACCTAAGAGTTTTTACCTTAGAGGTTAAAGAAACAGCTAGCTAGCTAATTAAGCTATCACTTGAACAACTACAGGTGATTATTAAATAACATGGAAAAAGAAATTAACTAGGAAACAAATACCATACATACATTTTAGTTAAAGATGAAAAAATCAAAAAGAAAGTTAAATATTAAACAAAAAAAAATTGGAAATAAAAAAGATCAAGAAGAAATCCCCACACCAAGAAAATCTATGAAGGGAATATCTTTCTTTTCCTTTGCTTCTTCTCCATGTTGTTGTTGTTGTTCAATGTTTGCCCTTAGCATTTTATTGAAGGAAAAAGTACTATCTCTAATATTCACTACTCCCTCAGTCATGCCATCAGATACATTAATTCTATGATCAGCAGGAACTGAATAACTAAAAGGATTTTGAATATTACTCCTTTTGTAATTATTGGGAAACCCTAATGCAGCAGGGCCTTCATATCCTCCACATAATGAAAAGCTTAAATTATTTTGACATAAAGGTTTTTTATCTGAAAATTTTGAGCTTTCTCTAAACAAATGGCTCCCATTATTTCTTCCAAAGAATTCAGGTGAATATGTTGATATTGAGAAAACCCTATCTTTGTTTGGGTTTTGAAATTCAAAGAAGCTGATTTTGGAGCCATAATTACCTTCTAATTGTGTTTTTGAATTATTGTCGTTGTTGTTATCGTTCCGTCTTCGAAAACCATAGGAGGGTGATTTAGAATCACTTAGAAAATTATCATGTTGTAATTGGTAGCTTCTTTTGCCACAAATATTCTTGGATTGTTCCCTTTGTTTTCTTGCCATTAGGACATGCCAATGATTTTTCACAGCATTGTCAGTTCTACCTGGAAATAATCTTGAAATTAATGCCCATTTGTTTCCATGTATTCTATGAGCTGCAACAAGTCTTTCTTCTTCTTCTTCAGTAAATGGTCTTCTATTAATTCTTGGATCAAGTTGGTTGAACCATCTCAATCTACAACTCTTCCCTACAAAATTCCCAAGAAGAATAAAGGAATTGAATTTTTTTACTTGATTTAATTTTCATTAGAGAAAAAGCAATGGTGTATACTTAACTTCTTGACCAAGATCTTTGCACTTAATATGATCTTAATTAATTAAGCTGTTGGGAAGATACTACCAACGGAAACTGTTATAGACTTCATTTATGTATGGTGCTAAAACTTTCTATTTTAGCCAAGTTTAGAATAAGACAAATTAAAAACTGTAATAAAGAATATCCATCTATAAAAATAGTTTCTTAAGTTCATAACCCAACTTTAAACGAAATAACGAAGAGCAAAATAATAGCAACCATAATAAATGAAAATCTTTAGCATTAAAAGACGAGAGAAATATTTGATCCAAATGTTTTTATTTTCAAGAAAAGAATGATAAGAGCCGGTGATATCAAAGTTTAAATTATGCTTGACTTTATTCAACAGATAATAACTAACCCTAATCTTTAAACAGTAGCACCACAAAAATCAAAACATCTCTTTTTCCGATTCATTTTTCTTAAGCTATGATATCAAATTCAGATTAAAATCTAAATTATTGTAATAGTCATTCAAGTGGAAAAAAAAAGTAAGCCTTTTTATTTCGGGCTTGGTGTAGCTGTCGACTCGATACGTTTTCTTTTAATCTCTTTTATAAGATTATAATCCAAAAATAAGTAGATAAATTATAATTAAATAGATATATACCTGATCTTCCTTGAAGTTTTTCAGCAATAGAGTTCCAGTTTTGAGGACCATACTGTTCTACAAGCTGCCGGAGCCTTTCATCTTCGGCCGGCCGCCAGTGGCCACGTGGACAACTACTTCTTGTATCATCACCGGAACCACCACCTTCTGCCATGTGAGCTGCCGGAAGTTGTAGCTAGTAATATGTTGTATGGAGTATTATTCTTGATTAAAAGAAATTAAAGGAATAAAGTAAAGTTGTTATATATATATATATATATAGTTAGTTAGTTTCAAGAAGAGTTAAAAGAAAGTGGGTTGGTTTAGAGATATATGGATGACTGATGGGCAGTCACTTTTGTTGGTTTTACACGACATATTGGGCAGTGAGAGGAGAGAAAACCTTTTGTGTACCTGTTGAAAAAAACTTCCTTTTTTTTTTTTCCTTTTTTTTATTGGACCTTCATCATCTTAATATCAAAATTCTCACACGTTTTAATTCATATCCATAGCTTTCCATTTTTTTACCTCGTCAAGGAGGTGCTTTTGAATATTATGTAGAACTATAACTTTGATGACCAGCTCATTCTAACTATTTTATAAGTTACGAATAAGTATTTCCAAAAAAAATCATGAAAAAAAGAATAAAAAGTAAAACAGAGACAGATTGAGAGAAACTCCTCTAAGAAATCTTAGGGGTGAATATTCAGATGTTATAACTCATTTATGAGCTGATATCATGTTTGATCCTATATGTTAGATGCACTTTTGGAAATTTATTTAATTAGTTAACAATTAATGTGGAATATTAAATTCTTTTCAACTACAAAAGAAGTAAGTATGTTATTCTTGTTTGCAAATGAAGTTTTGAATTAATTTTTTTGCTATTTTATTAGTTTGTACACAAGCAAATTGGAAAAAAGAAAAAGAAAAAATAAGGAAAAAAGGGGAAAGTTGAGGGGTCGAATGGAGGTTGTTGAGGGGTGGGAAGGAAGTATTTTAATTCATTTCATTTGCGTTAAAGGTAAAGAACTTTAGTCCTTTCAAAGTGGAAAATGGAAATGACTACCGTTATGAATTTCAATTATTCCGTTAATAAAGATTTAGTTAGGTATATTTAGGCTTTTGCTCCACCTAGATATTTCAATCTTTTACCTTGTTTGGTTTGTGTTATTAGATCCATGTGATATAACAGATTGGCCTTAGGAATCGGCTATTTAAATTATTATAATAAATGAATATTGGTGATAAAACTATACAATATAATATACGGAAAAAAACAATACACGGAAGCGGCTATTTTTAATTCTAAATACATTGTGATAAGAAATAAAAGAAAAAAGGAACCAGATAAATAAAGTCAAAGAAAACCCTAGCAATGTAGTCATGTTACTCGTACACTAGCTAATTTAACTGTTTTACCATATTCCAGGACAAGATGATATATATGTATCAATATCTAGTAAATTAAAGAGGAAAACCAAATCAAGAGGATATGTTACAAGTATTATATATTGCGAAATGGGAATTAACACTTAGAACTTTGATTGACCCATTTATACTTGTATTTTTACTGCTTTTTATCCATGTCATAGGAAAACAGAAATGCAAAAAAAACCTCATTGGTTGTATAATTTTCGTGGCTTTTAAAACTTAAAGCACCAAGCCCAATTAATTGGAGATGCAAGAGACAAAATTACGTACTAAATGTGAATCTCTCTCAAAGAAGATTGCCTTTTTAAGAGTAAAATAACTTTTACGAGACAGATTTTTTCTTCACGACAGAGCAAAGAAAGAAAGCCCCATAAAATTCACCTTTGTTATGTTGTTATTGTAAAGCTCGTAATTTTTTACGTTGTTTCTATTTCTTACTTTTTTCTTTTCTTGGTGTACCACCCCCCACATAAACACATTGAGTGTTTAGTTGAACAGTACTCTTAATGAAAAAATTATAATATTCTTTGCAAAATTTCTGACTCCGTCACAGTCAACCGGAAGGATAAAGTAATTATAATGTTCTGGTCTACTCCATCCAAAACCTTAAGGCAATAGACGTGAGTGGTCCATGCTCTTTAGAAATTCTTATTACACAACCGACGAGGGATAAATATACTCTCCAACAATATACATATTACGCAAAAAAAAAAAAAAAAAAAAAAAATTAACTTAATAAGACTTGAAATTATAAGAATACCCGACTTAGATCATTTCCCGTTCCCTAGTATTTAAGCTATGAGTTTGCCGCTTAAGCGTGACCGCTAGTGGCGAAGCCAGGAATTTCATTTAGGATGTTCAAACTTGAAATAAGTAAAAAATATCTCCAATAAAAGGTGTTCAATATATATTATATACCATTAAAATCTAATATTTTATCTATATATACCGTGTAATTTTTCGACGAAGGGTGGTCAGTTGACCACCCTTTAGGGATATCTACTTTCGCCCCTGTTAACCGCAGTATGACTCTGTCTACTGCTCTTGTACGGTACTATCTTTTTTTCTTTCCAAAAGGCGTATTGTACTAATTTATATAGTATATATATGCTAAAAATTGAATGAATGAAATAACGTAGTATGCACAAGATTTGACTTATGAACAAAAACTCCGTGTAAGGTGTATCAATATTTCCAATATATGCATAAAATTGGCTGTCATATTAAAGTTCAGACTTCATTTCTTTTATAATATAATTCTAGGTATTACTTTGTTTAGAGAAATAGTTCAATCATTCTGAGGTTTAAGAAAGACCAGCAGTTGAGGAAAGACATAATCCCTCCCCTCCGTTTGAAAAATATTATCTTAATTTGTTTGACTTGACACAAATTTTAATAAAGAATAAAAGACTTAAGATATATTATCTTAATTAAATAAGGCATAACATTTATGTGGCTGTAAAAATTTTGAAACTTGTGACCTAAAACCTGTCATAACATTTGTGTAGTAATAGATACTTCCTATTACTCAAATATTGAAAGATGTCATCTTTTTAGAACAGACTAATAAAAAATAGTATCAAATTTTTTTTAGACAGAGGAAATATAATTTTACTAACTCACCCACCCAAATGTGCAAAAAATTGTACTTCTACATGTCTTCCCATCCATGCAGATGGAAAGTCAATCATAAAGTTGAAAGCTTTTTAATCAATCAATTATTTAAAAATTGATTTCTTAACTGACTGATTAATCTATACCCCACGAAACTGAACACTTCTCTTTCTCATCTATAAGTAGAAAGATAGAATTTTAAAATTTAATTCGTCGTTAATTAATTTAATTAAAATAGCGTATCCATTAACATCAAAAGTTTATCAATCAAACAAGACATCTCTAACGGTGGGTGTTAGATCAATATCTAAAAGCTAGGTCATTATTACGCATGTCTATCAACAAAAAACATCCAATCATGTCTAACTTTTTGGTTTTCTAAATAACTAAATTAAATTCTTTTTGGTTAGTTACGTTGATTTGTAGAGTTATATATTGATATAGCAGATCTTTTTAACATTTGTTTTCGTTCTTATCAGTATAGAACGGATTTACTCCTTTGTTAACTATATATCTTTTTTTCCCCCTAATGTATATTGTCAAGACACAAATGCGTTGGGTCGAGACTAACATCTATTGACTAGTTTTATCGAGCCCCATTTTTCATTTTTCATTAGTCAAATTTGGAAAAAAAAAAAAATTAGTCAAATTTGAAGAATTTGTACTTTTTATAGAGGAGTTAATCCAGTTATGAAAAATTTGTGTCTGGTTGGTATTGCCAATCAAAAAAAGAAAAAGAAAAAAAAGAACAACTTGCACGAATGAATCAAGTACTTATAGCATTCCATGAACGTGTCAAAAGCCCATGTTGTTTCGTGTATATAAAAACGGATAAATTTCATGGGTGGTCATTGAACTTTCAAAAGTTATTTTTTTTTTTTGGTTACATAAAAGTCATGCAACCTTGCATGCATTACCCGAATTCACCTTTTTTTCTTTTGTTATACAAAAATTATTTTACTTTGCTCTAGTTATCACAAAAATCACCTTGGCTAAGTTTTATAATGCTTTTACCTGAAAAGTCTATTATCCTCTTGATATTATAAATTCTTCTATTTACTTCTCTCTCTCTCTCTCTCTCTCTCTCTCTCTCTCTCTCTCTCTCTCTCTCTCTTCCTATATATATATATATATATATATATATATATATATATATATATATATATATATATATAGTTGCTACAATGTGACCAGGAGGTCACGAGTTCGAGCTGTGAAATAGCCTCTTGCAAAAATGCAGGGTAATGCTGCGTACAATAGACCCTTGTGGTCCGCCCTTCCCTGGACCCAGCGCATTGCAGGAGCTTAGTGCACATATATGTAATTAATAACTTTATATATTTTATTTATTATTTTATAATATAGTCGTAGATTTATTTTACCATGGCACTAAATTTATTTAATGATATTCAAACATGAAAATATTTTAAAATATAGAACTATAAAAATATTTATTTTTTAATATTTATTTACAATAACAAAAAAGATACCCCGATCTCATGGATGAAGGCTAACGTTTTCTATTGGAATAGAGGGATGTGCAGATCAATTCTACTTTTCACTTTGCCATCTAGAGATAGTTTGCCCTGAGTTAGGATACGGAGTTGGAAGAGAATGCCAGTATATCAGTTCTACCAAGGCCAGGATCTGAAAGAGAGGATTCACATTCCGAAATTCCAAGTGACATGATTCCTCCTTCAGAAGCTAAAGTTGAATGATTGAAGTCTCCTTTAGGTTCAGTCGAAGAGATTGAAGGATCTATTTAACAAATAAGTTTTTTATAGTCTGTAAAACTTTTAAAAAAAAATTAAGGATACTTGTTTTTTAAAGTTTTATCTGTTAGTATTAATTATTTTAATGTGTTTATATGATGTATCCGGGTTCTAGAATATAGGTATTTTGTTTATTGAATTAACGAATATGGCTTGGCTGGTAAATCTGTGAACTTTAATTTTATAATTTTTCTTAAAAATATTTCATTAGGCATGGTTAAGAAAATTTCTTCATAGTAATGTTATTGACAAATTTAATAATGCTACCTACCTATATTGAAAATTAACATTAAAGGGAAATTAAATATATAAATATATTATAAAAATAATAAATAAAATAATATAAATTTTATTTTAATTATAAGTAAAATAGTTAGGTAAAATATATTATATAGTACTATATAATATAGAAAGTATTACATAAATGAGAGGATTTATAATATCAAGGGCA